ATGCTGGGTAAGATGGAGGGTCAGAGAAAAAGAGGAAGACCCCTAACGAGATGGATTGGCCAGGTGGCATCATTGATGGACTCAAGTGTGGCAGTGGTAGTGAGGTTGGCCCAGGATCGGACATTGTTTCATTCTGCTGTGCATGGGTCACTATGAGTCGGTTCCGACTTGATGGCACCTGACAACAACAACAACAACGCTACCAGAGCTCCTCCTTATTCACAGAATTTAGTCTGTTGGAAAGCAAAGACAACACCACCAGGATGGTGCCCCCAAACCACCTGGGCAAGCACTCCCTTATTGAACTGTTCCACCCAGTTGCCATCAAGTTGATCCTGACTCATAGCAACCTCATGTGCATCAAAGCAGAAGTGTGCTCCCCGCCCCCTCTACTTAGGTGCCTCTGGGTAAGTTCAAACCCTCAACCGTTAAGCCTAGTGTAACTGTTTGCACCATCCTTGTATCTCTCTTGAGGCAGTCTTCACTTCCTATTTGTTAACCACATGGAAGTCACTAACATCTTGGTGGACAGAGTTTAAGTCATTTCTACGTTTCCTATAGCCTTCGCACAGGCCAAACATCAAGCAAATGTAGAGAAGGCATACATGAGTTAATATTAGATCTTTACCTGTTTTATATTCTTTTTAGGTACAAATGCTACGCAGAAAATATTCTAGCAAAATCCAAATGCCTTATTGTGAAGAGCACTTGTAGATTGCTTTATTTCTTGTAGAGGAGTCAAGAGTTGCTTGTTGTTGTTAAGTGCTGTTGAGTTGGGTCTGACTCCTAACAACCCTATCTTGAATTTCCAAGGAGCAGTTGGTGGGTTTGAGCCACTGACTTTATGGTTACATGTCAAGTACATATCTACAGCGAAGGCAGAAAAATAAATGACCTGAAGCCTGATGCATGACACAACATGAATGAACCTTGAAAGTGTTATGCTGAGTGACAGTCGCAAAAGGACAAATACCATATGATCTCACTTACATGAAATCAGCAAAGATATAGAAATCGAAGCTTATTGGTGGTTTTAAGAGATGGGAAGAAGGGGAGAAGAGAAAGTTTTTGCTTAGGGGACCTTGAGTTGATGTTAATAATGGTGGGATGATTGAAAAAAGAATGAGGAGAATGGTTTCGCAATTTGAAGAATGTTATCAATGTCACCGAATTGTACTTGTAAAAATGGTTGAGATGGCATATGTTTTACTATGTAAATTTTCACCACATAGTGGAGAGGCAGAGGAGCTTCCAAAAACCAAGTGTTTCCAACTGAAATGCTGCTGAGGATGTATCATGCCAAAGTTCAGACATGCACTCATTTTAGTGTCTCATCCCAGCTCCTGTTTGGCTCCTAGAAAGAAAAGGGAAGCAAAACTCATGTTATCACCACAGCTGGAGTGGGATGGGAGGGTGTTCTATCTGACAGGAAGGGTGTTAAGAGCAGCTACATCCTGTTTGTGTTGGACTAGTCAGTGAGCTTCCCAGGACTTCCTTTTTGTGGCCTTGTTTTTCCTTCCAGATTTCTCTTCAGCTTCCCTGACATTCCTTTGTCTTCTGTTACAGCTCTGGGGCATAATCAAGCAAGGATATAAATGCAAAGGTAAATAAATACTAGTTGGTTGAAATTTTTAATTTTGGAGTAGAAAACAAATTTGTCCAATGAAACCACAAAACTCCTGGCATCAGCGTGAGCTTGGGTCTTGTGGGCCACTGGTACCTGAAGAGTTATGATAGCCTGAGAAAGGACTTTCTAGAGTTGTAGAGAGCTCTGATTTGAATTTGATAGCTTGTTCCTGGATGATAGTAAACCACTCTTATCAACCCTCATAAATCTAGTCCTCATCTTTACACATTTTCAGCATTAAGTTTGTTATTCAAAAGTGGGACAGACTTAACTCAAATATTTGTAGTTAAGAACTTTTTTCCTTCAGAGGAAAAAACATACTCTCATATCTGCCAAAGGTATCCATTTCCTCCCACTCTTATAGAGCTACGTTGTTTACATTTTCTTTTCTATAAACCTGTATAGATGATATGAGAAGAGAAAGCTTACAGTTTAATTTTGTTCCTTTTGATTAATTCATGCATCTCCTGCATTTAATTGAAATCCATAAACTGAATAACTATATATTTGACAAACTGAATATGCATGCATATCCAAATACATTAGGAAGTGTGATGCTCTCTGTATATAACTATTTATGTGATTATCCATTGTTAAGTGCTGTCAAGTCAGTTCAAACTCATAGTGAACCTATTTAGGGTTTCCAAGGAATGGTTGGTGGGCTTGAACCACCAGCTTTGTGGCTAGCGGTTCAGTACTTATCCTACAGTGCCACACTCCGGCTCCTATTACATATATCCTTTGCTGCTTGAAAATGAACATCCAATTTAGACCAAGACGACTGATGATCAGAGGCCCTACCAATATGTAACAACTTTTTGTAGTGTTTAAGTAGTGGTGGAGTTCTGGTGGCCCATAGGATAAGCACTGAACCGAAAAGTGGGTTTGAATCGGAAGGTCAGCTGTTCAAACCTACCAGCCACTTCTCAAAAACCCTACACAGGGTTGCTATGAGTTGGAACCAACTCAACAGCATTTAACAGCAAACAACAAGGAACCCTGATAATGTAGTGGATGGATTACAAGATGGACTGCTAATCAAAAGGACAACAGTTTGAATCTTCCAGTTGCTCTATTGGAGACAGATGAGACTTTCTGCTCCTGTTAGGATTCACAGCTGTGGAATTCCTATTCAGGGTCTCTATAAGTCAGAACCGACTTGGTGGCACACCACCAAGTAGTGTCTGGATATTTTATGTTGACTGCTTACACTGATTTTTAAGAATCTAGTAAGATTCTTGAAAAATATAGTAAGGCTACAAAAGAAACATCTCAGTCACAGAATGCCTTCAGAATAGTGTTGTTCCCCAGTAAGGCCTTTTTAAAAGCAAAGATATCTTCTAGAATTTGGCCCTCATTTTGCATGAACAGAGAGCACCTGGAACCTTGTTGGGCACCACCATTTAGAACTTAGAAACCAATCAACTCATTGCTATCCGAATAGATTCCGACTCACAGTAACCTTGCAAAGGGTTTCTGAGGTTGTAAATCTTTAAGGAAGCAGAAAGCCTCATCTTTCTCCCCTGGAGTGACTAGCAGTCCAGTGCTTATCCTACAGCACCACCAGGGTTCCTTAGGGCATATCAGTACCTACCCTTTAGTGCCTCTGAGCATCAGTTGTCTTGGTCTAACTTGGAATTTCATTTTCAAGCAACAAAAAGATAGTACCTTATTGCACAATGGTGAGTCCATTTTCTTCTGGTTTCTGCGCCCCCCAGGTCCTAACACAGGCATCCTGGTGTGGTGCTTTAGGATGCACACTGGTCTGCTAGCCACAAAGTCAGCAGTTCAAACCCACCAGCTGTTACTCAGAAGTCCTAGACAGGCTTGCGAGGAGCCAGAACTGACTCGATGGCACTTAACCACAACAAATGCCCTAATACACACATCCATACAGACACATACACTGAGAGTGTGTATAAAGTTCAAGATTAAACCCTTGAAATATCTTTTTATAAATAATATTTTCTCTTAATGGCCCACAGAGCCAAAAACATTCACTAAAATAGACTAAACATCATTGCTATTGGCTGTTTTCATGTTGTTACAAGACCATTTGAAACAAGATCATTTTGGGGAAAATTGATTAGTGGGAATCATTTAAAAGGTCTTCTTTGATAGTAAAATATCTGTTCAGTGATTCTAAGTGACGTGTGAGGCCTTCATCACATAAAATAATTACGTGGCTACTTTCCAAAGTGGACAGGTTCTGTCTACCCTAAATAGTGAAGGTATTTTACTTTCTTAACTAAAATTCCCTCATGGGAATTTTCACAGTATCTGCAGCATATCCTATCAAAGTCAAATATGGAACATATTTATTGAGGTTTTTGCTTCTATAAAAACAAAGGATGCAGAAGATGCAATGACTTGCTCTGGAAAGGTTTTGGGATGTGAAGAGTACAAAGTCCAGGCAAGTACTAATGGAGGAGCAGTGCCCGAGTTTGTACCCGAGGCAGCAGTTTGTACACATAGAGGAGAAGTGGAGCTCTTATTCTAACTTAGGAACCTCTCTGCAGGGACTCCATGTTGTCCTGGGGAAGAGGCACCCAAACCCATGGCTATCAAGTTGATAGCCCTACATAATTTCAGTTTTGTTTTGAGTGAAGACAACTTACCAAGTGTAGATCTTACTTGCTTGCTCTATAAATGAATTGTGTAGAGGAAAAAGCTGAGCAAATACTAGGGAACTTTACAAGCCTTAGGGACACAAGAGAGTGCCAAGGGCCTTTTACCAGCCCCTAGCCTTGATGACATACAACAACAACTGACATTCCATTCTTGCTTGAGCTGGACTCTGAGGTTAACATGGAAACCAAGGGTCTCAAAACTCTGGTGGCATCCTGAAAGTCTAATCAGTACTCGACACACATGGTTCCCACTAGTCATCTGTAATATCTTTGGACACTTTTAGACTGTGGAGTCAATTGTCACAAACAGTGCAAAGATCTTCTGGTTCTGGCCTGCAGAAGGTTTGCCCGTGTGCCTTCCCTGGGCAGTGGTCAAGGGTCACTGCCTGGAAGTCCCTCGATGCCTCCAGGTAATGTCTTCTACTTTTTTTCCTGCCGTGGTTTCTCTCAACTCACCTTCTCACACCTGGTTAGTTACTTGAATTCTGGATCTAAGCCCTTTCTCAGTTATTGTAAACACCAAAATGAGCAGCAGTGGTTAATCATACCTCCCCCACACTCCCTGGCTTTTCTCTGTTTTCAGGGTCAAGCAACATGAAACTCATCTGCAGCTAATTTAGTTCTGTTCAAGTCTAATCCTCTAGGACTCTGCATGTCACAGCCCCTCTGTTTGTACTAACTTTCATAGTAGTTTGCTGTCAAATTGTCATATGTCAAAGACTCACCTTCTTCTTCCATTTCCAGTGCAGGATGAGGTGTTTGAGTTCCCTGGGGTTGCTGCTGGACACCAGGACCTGGACAGCAGAGCTATCACACTGGTTACAGGCTCTTCTCGCAAGATTTCTGTGCGGCTACAGCGGGCCACCACCAGTCAGGCCACCCAGACTGAGCCCGTGTGGTCAGAGGCTGGCTGGGGGGAGTCAGGGTCTCATACATTCCCCAAAATGAAATCCAAGTTCCATGACAAAGCAGCAAAGGACAAAGGCTTTGCCAAGTGGGAAAACGAGAAGCCCCGGGTACAGGCTGGCATAGATGTTGTGGACCGGGGTACTGACTTTGAACTTGACCAGGATGAAGTAGACATGAGTGAGGTCAGACAGGATGGTGAGGTGAGTGCTGGATCAACCACAATAAACTCAGAAAAGGGAATCTGAAGGTGTTGACATAACAATTATTGCGGGTCCCCAGGAGTAGTTTTCAAAGCAGTATAGTTGGGGATCAAGACATACATAGCGCTTTAAGTCTGTTGTTTCCTGGGCTAGTTTCGTGACTTGACCCTGAGCAAATGGTTTAATTTCTTTGAACGTTGGCTGATGGAAAATTGAACTGGATGATTTCTAAAACTTAGGTTGTGATGTCTATGCCCTGCAATGATGTCCCAGCAGCCCATGACTATTACATGTAACCAACATACCAGTCTGCAGTGCAGATCATTTTCGTTTTCTAAGATAGAATTAGGACCCAAACTCATAGGAGGCTGTGGAAGCAAAAGACATGCATAGATAGGAGAGAATTAGAAAACTTTGCCCTCTTTTTAAAAAAGAGACCTTTGAGATCATGAGGAATGAGGTAGTGAGAATCACAATAGATATACAGGGGACTTTGAGATTCTGCAAGCCAGACTTTGCCTTCATACAACAATTGCGCCCAAATCATCCAAGGGAAACTGGGAAGCATATGGTGTCAGGACAAGCTGAAAATATAAATTGATTCAGGATGGAGTTGAATAAATTTGTTAGTCAGGATTCCCCAGTGTGTTAAGAAAAAGGATTTGAGGAAATTGATGTCCTTTCCCTAACCTTAAAAGCTAAGGTCATGGAGGGCAGCTATTGCCTTCCTATGGAGCCATTATCATGTACAGAATACTCGGTTAGGCAAAGATCCTGTTGGGTCCAGTAGGTCTTCTGGATTCTTATAGGTGGCCAGTCCTTCACGTTCTACTTTTTTGGAGAGCTAAACAGTCTCCATAGTTTCCCATGGTGAAAAACAATGCTAGTGATCTTTAACCAATCCTTCAACTTCTACTGGCCTACCACGATTCAAGCTGAGGATATAAAGGTGGATAAAAAACAGGGACTATCCTAAGGCCAAGGAACCCTGGTAGCATAGTGGGTTCCAAGTTGGGCTGCAAACCATAAGGTAAGCAGAAAGATGACGCTTTCTGCACTCAAAGATATATAGCCTCAGAAACTCTGTATAGAGTCACCATGAGTAAGAACAAATTTCATGGTACACCACCATCGCTACCATCCTAGGGCCACACAGTCTTTAAGGATTTCAGGAGGTTCATGAAAGAACATTAAATTATTGTGAAATTATACATGGGCAGATATTTATTTCAGCGGTGGGAGGGTCCATAGCATTAAACAGATTCTCAAGGGGTCTGCAAATAAAAGAAATAAATAAAGGAAGTATCACTGGGCTCTGGTAGTGTTGTTGTTGTTGTTAAGTGCCTTCGAGTCGGTTTCGACCCATAGCGACCCTGTACAGGGTTTCCGAGGGTGTAAATCCTTTACGGGAGTAGAAAGCCTCATCTTTCTCCCGCGGAGCAGCTGGTAGTTTCCAACTGCTGACCTTAAGGTTCGCAGCCCGATTCGTAACCACTACGCTACCAGAGCTCGTGGTTACGAATCGGGCTGCTAACCTCAAGGTCGGCAGTTCGGCAGCTGTTCCGTGGGAGAAAGATGAGGCTTTCTGCTCCCGTAAATATTTGCAGCCTCGGAAACCCTGTTCAGGGTCATGATGAGTCGGAACCAACTCCACAGTACTTAAAAACAACAACAACAACAACAACAACAACAACAATCATTGGGCAAGGTTTTTGGAATGATGCCTTATCTTACGCTAGTCACTAGTCACTCCGATTATCACCCCTACCTGCCAAGGTTGCTTTGTGATCAGTATGTCTCTCACTGAAATCTCAGGAAAGATCTCCTGCAGAGGTTCTTCAGGATGGTTCCTACCTCAGGAACATCTGTGGATTCATAAGAGTCCCTGCCTTTGTTTAATATATTATGAAACGAGCCATGAGCTCACAGGTCTTTTACTTTTACTGGCCTAGCACTGTTCAAGTTGTTTAAACCATGCTCTTGGGTGAAGACAGAGTCATAACCTGTTAGGTGAGGGCAGTCACTGTATGCTAAGATTTCCTGGTCAATCATCCCTTTAAGGAAACAGAAACAAAGATCTGGTTTTTAAATTTAATTTGGCTCTCTGGAAACTGGACCATCATTTTCAGATGCTCTCTTGCCCTTTGAATGTTCTCATCTCATAAATCCTTGGGCTGAGTCACTGAACACTACTAGTATTTAAGTCCACTGGTGCTAATGCCGGAGGACAGTGTGGTGGTGGTGGTGGTGGTGGTTATGTGCCATGGAGTCGGTTCCGACTCATAGTGACCCTGTACAGGGTTTCCGAGGCTGGAAATCTTTACGGGAGCAGAAAGCCTCATCTTTCTCCTGCGGAACAGCTGGTAGTTTTGAATTGCTGACCTTAAGGTTCACAGCCTGATTCATAACCACTACGCGACCAGAGCTCCTTGGAGGACAGTGTGCGCTTGTATAAAATGCATAGTGTATCGTCTCACTACCATTCAAATCAGTAACAAATGAAAACACATCTGTCCTTGCTTAAGGAAAAGGCATGAAGGAAAAAATATGACAAAATTATGCTAAACAGTTGAATATATGGACAAAAAAAACTTAAATACAAGATTTTTCTGCTAGGCAAGACCAATGAACAGCTTCAGGAGAAATTATCTTCTACACATTTATTATTTGCAATCAAATGATTTTTATAAGCACTGGAATGCTAACCAAAAGATTGGCAGTTCAAACTCACAAGCTGCCCTGCAGGAGAAAGATGAGGCTTTCTGCTCCTGTAGAGATTTACAGCCTCAGACACTCTATACAGGGTCTCTATAAGTTGGTAATGGGTTTTGGGGGATCATTAAATGTGAAGAAAAGACAGATTGACTAACTTTTTGACAGTAAAAGTATGTTTATATTCTTTATAATGCTTTTGTTGTTGTTTTTAATTCCCTTCTGTTAAATAAAATTTAATAAACTAGTATTTATGAAAAAGTGATTGGGCAATGCTGGGCTCATTAAGGTAAAAAAAAAAAAAATATATATATATATATATATATGCAGGAGAAAGACCAGGCTTTCTACTCCTGTAAAGATTTACACCCTCGGAAACCCTGTACAGGGTCGCTATGGGTTGGAACCGACTCAACGGCACTTAACAACAACAACATATATATATATATATATCCTGTATAGGGTTTCCAGGGAGCGTCTGGTGGGTTTGAACCACAACCTTGCAGTTAGCAATCTAGTACTTATCCTACAATGCCACACTACAAAGTATATTTTTACTTGCGCTGTAGGATAGGTGCAGGAACGAAAGGTGGGTTTGAACAAGAAGTTCATTTTGTGTGTGTGTGTGTGTGTGTACACAGATACATTTAAGTGTGTGTGTGTGTGTATACACACACACACACACACATATAAACATATACATACTCTGCTAGTGTAGTAGTTATGAGTTGGGCTGCCAACATCAAGGTCAGCAGTTTGAAACTACCAGCTGTTCCGCAGGAGAAAGATGAGGCTTTCTGCTCCCGTAAAGATTTACAGCCTCGGAAACCCTGTGCAGGGTCACTATGAGTCGGAGCCCACTCCATAGTACTTAACAACAACAACATATAGTGAGAGAGAGAGTCCTGGTGTGACGTTGTAGGATGAGCACTGGATTGTAAAGTCAGTTTGAACCTCTAGGTTGGCAGTTCAAACTGATGAGTCACTCCTCGGAAACCCTATACAGGGTCGTTACGAGTCAGAACCTACTCAACAGCACTTAACAACAGTATACATTTAAAAATAAAATGTCTGTGTTTTTATAGTAATTTACATTGTGAATTTCTCAGAAGGAAACCTTTAAATATGGAGCATTCTAAGGACCTAATGCTTTATGACGCATTCTTTTGGAAATTCTCTATTATTTGACTCCATGTATGGGAAGTCTTTTAGATTTCATGTGCTGGTTGGATGATAAAACCTTCAAATTCCCTTAAGTCCCGAGGAACACTGTTATTTCATTCAATGAGAATCGAGCCGTATAACAGCTTCAGATTTGTATTGCAGGATGGCTGATGTCATTCATCCAGAGAAACTGAAGGCAATGGTATATTGGCTTTTGGAAGGAGGAAGATGAGAAACTCTGAAGAACACTCCAACTCTCAGGAAGTTATATGGAAAAATCCCTAGATCTTTTCTGCCTTGTAACATCATGGGATCTCCCTGATTGGATTATGGGACAGCGGATTGCCCTAACCATGAACTATTTATTTCCTCCTTCCCTGTCCCTAGTTAGGTGTCAAGAGGACAATGTTAATATAGTCAGTAGTTTTCTCATGTATCTCTCCCTAGAGTCATTTATATACGGGTAAAACGAAAGCTTTCATGTGTGTATCTGGTAGTCATTTTCTAAACTCTGACTTTGCCTTTTTGTTGTTGTTGTTGTGAGTATATTATTTCCATATTTTTATAAACTTTCGATGTGGGCGTGGTGATGGAGGGAGTTGGTTAACAAGGATTTGAGTGCCCGGTGTTTTTGATTTAGAGGCCATTTTTGCCTGCTTTTTGGACGGACCAGGATTTAACATTTTCTTGAGGGACAAGGAAGCTCTTCAAATCCTGGAATGCAAATATTCTTCTCCTGACCATCTGTTGCAAGGTGAACCTGTTTACATTGTTCTTATCATATAGCTGCTTTTATGATGTATAACAAGTTATACATGTACATTACATGAGTCTTACCAATTCTGCACTACTAGGAAACGTTGGCATGGCCATGACAACCTTCCTAATTTCCCCATGGGAAATTAACAACACCTATTCCATCTGAATAAAGGAGCTCTGGTAGCGTAGTGGTTACGAATCGGGCTGCGAACCTTAAGGTCAGCAGTTCGAAACTACCAGCTGTTGCGCGGGAGAAAGATGAAGCATTCTGCTCCCGTAAAGATATACAGCCTCGGAAACCCTGTTCAGGGTCGCTATTGGTTGGAACCGACTCCATGGCCACATAACCAACCAACCAACCAACCAACTCCATCTGAATGGGGCCAGCCACTTTTCTTTCTTAATACTCCTGAAATACGAGCAACTGAGAAATTGTCAAGTTACTGAAGATAACATTTAGGAGAAAAACAAACCACGCAGTGAAACACAAAACAAGCACCTATTTTGAAAAACTGAAAATCATATTAATAATTACATTTGTTTTTTTAAAAAAAGAAAGCTTGTGGTCAAAAAAGAACTCTGTTCTCTTCCTAAGAATTTGCAATCCATGGTTAAACAGTGTTCATAGGAAGCAAATCAACTTAGATTAACTTTTCCATTTAAACTTTTAAAGTGTCAAAAATTTGAAGTACCTTCTAATCCAAAAGAACTAGAGGTGGTTGTGTCCCACACACTGAGAAGAGAGAAAACATGTTTCACGATATTCAGAAGTAGAGGTAGGAGTGAGCGAGAGACATGTGGCTGATCAGACTTCTATTTCATGGAGGTGAAATGGTGTTCATTTGGGGCCTAAAGTTTTTATGTTGTTGTTGCTAAGTGCCGTCGAGTCGATTCTGACCCATAACGAACCTGTATAGGGTTTCCAAGGGGCAGCTGGTGAGCTTGAACCACCGACCTTGCAGTTCAAATGACTTTGCAGTCTGACACATTAGCTCACTGTGCCATACCAGGACTTCAAAGTATTTATACTCAATGTAAAAAGGAATTTATTTCTATTTGGGTCATTCACTTCAGAAAATAAATGCCTTTCCTCTCTTTTCTCTCCACCTGTTCGCCAAGGACAATTCCTCTCAGCAAATGCTGAGCACCTGCCCTGGGCGTGTCTCGTGCTGATGCACAAAGATGGGAAAGGCCTGGGATCTGTTCTCAGAGGCAAACAGCCTTGTGGGCATTAAGGCAGAAAGGTTCTAGTGCTTAGTCATAGCAAACAGATTCAGAGAGTCAAAGTATTGCAAATTAAATGAAGTTATTAGCTGCGGGAGCGATGATTACACTGGATAATAAAACTCCGTTTGCAAGCACTTCAGAAGGTAAACAGCAATCTCCAAGTGTTGGTTGTATGTACATATGTCTTCCTACTTTTAAATGCAATGACATATATTTTAACAAAATTTAAAACAAAACCAAAGACTATGTTCAGAAAACTTTCTTGTGTTTTTAAGATTTTTGAAGAAAATTCAGAAAAACGCTTGTTAATAAATGTTGGATTGTTCTTTTTCGGAAGGAATTATTCCACTTGAAACTTAGTTTTTTTTTTTCAGTTTTATGTTTTCAGCCTTTTCATGCATGATAAAGAAACTAAATGAACTATTTAGACTTCAGTAAAAAACAGTTATCAGCAAAAAGAAAACAAAATATACATATATAGGTGTGTGTATATATATATGGATGTGTATGTATATATGTGTGCATACACTTAATTATTTTGCATACACTAATGCATACGTGTTGCATACATATATACATATACACACTAAGGAGCTCTGGTAGCATAGTGGCTATGAGTCAGGCTGCTGACCTGAAGGTCAGTAGTTAAAAACCACCAGTGGTTCCACAGGAGAAAGATGAGACTTTCTGCTCCCATAAAGATTTACAGCCTTGGAAACTCTATGCAGGGTCACTATTAGTTGAAACTGACTCCACAGCCCACCACCACCACCATACACGCACTATGTATATATTTGTTGTTGTTAGGTACTGTTTATTCAGTTCCAACTCATAATGACTCTATATATAACTGAATGAAATGCTGTTCTCCACCATCCTCACTATGGATGTGATGTTTGAACTTATTGTTGTAGCCACTGTGTCATTCCATGTCATTGAGGGTCCTTCTGTTTCTCACTGACTCTGTATTATATCAAGCAGGATGTCCTCCAGGGACTCACTCTTTCTGATAACATGCCCAAAGTGAGAACACATCTCTTCACTCTCTCTTCTAAGTAACATTCTGGATTTACTTCTTCTAACACAGATTCGTTTATGCTTCTAGAAGTCCATGATATATTCAATATTCTTGACCAACACCATAATTCAAAGGCATTGATTCTTTTGCCTTCCTTATTTGTTGTCCAGCTTTTATATGCATATGAAATGACTAAAAATACCATGGCATGAGTCCTGAAAGTAATACCTTTGCTTTCTAAGACTTTAAAGAGGTCTTTTGCAATGTGTGAGTGTATCACTGTGATTGTGCGGTGTTTAAGTGCTTGATTACTGAAAATATTGGTGGCTTCAACCCACCCATTGGCTCCACCCACCATTTGTTCTCCTATGGTGACTTGGGTGCTGTTGGAAGCTATGCCTCCAGTATTTTAAATACCAGCAAGGCACCCATAATGGACAGGTTTCAGCTAAACTGTCAGACTAGGACAGATTAGGAAGAAAGAGTGATGAACTACTTAATGTTTAGCTACTGAAAACCTTATGAATAGCAGTGGAACCTTGTCAGATACAGTGTCAGAATACGAGCCCCTCAGGTTAGAAGGCACTCAAAATACAACTGGGAAGAGCTGCTTCCTCAAAGTAGAGTTGACAGTGATGACATGAATGGAATGAATCTTTTGGGACCTTCATTTGTGAATAGGACACAACTCGAAATGAGGAGAAACAGCTGCAAACATTTATTAATAATTTGGTACTTAGGGATGAAGTATCAATAGCTGCAATTTACTTTCAAATGGTTCAGCTCCTGCGCCAGCTGTGGAAATCAGAGGGTTGAGGATTTACATTTCGGAATGTGCACCTTCATTCGGAGGATGTTGTCGCTGCATGGTTTTTGATATCTCAGCCAGCAAATTTTTCTCTTGCATGGTATCTTGTCTTTATGTCTCCTGCAGACTCCTGTGGTCAGGCTCCATTGCTTTTGTCCATCTAATGTGGGACCGGGGATTTCAGTCTCGCCTGGCTCCTCTGAAAAGGGAATTTTTAAAAACTGTATTCCCAGTGTTGCTTTTTTGATGGTTACCAGTAAGAGAACAAGTAATGATTTCTTTTCTCTCCCAGCTTGAAACAAAACAAAACAACAGAAAATAACCTTCAAACCTCCAGAAGAGTTTAAACAGGATATAGTGAATACCTACATACTCTTTATCTCGATTCAGCTATTGTTAATATTTTTCCACTTTTGCTTACTCTTTCTACATAAATACAGACTTTTTTTTTTTTTTTGCTGAACCATGTGAATGTAAATTACAGATATTGATACTTCATCCCTAAGTACTTCAGCACTAAAATTAAAGACATTCTCCGCTATAACTATAAAATCATTTATCACACTGAAATGACAATAAGTAGTTTAATATAGAGTCCCTTATTTAAATTCCCCAAATCGTCCCACAAATGTCTACTTTATGTATTTTTTTTGCCCAGAATCGAATCAACATTCATACATTGTATTTAGTTGTCATAGTCCATTATTCTTTTGATCCAGAAGAATAACTTTCTCTTCTTTCTTTTTACTGTTTTTCATGACCTTTTGTTTTTAGAGTACTCAGTACAGTTATGTTATTGAATGCTCCAAGTGATTCTTCCTTTATGATCCTATGTACAAACTGCAACTCATGTGGATTCTAAGCAGATGAGATTTCCAATATACTTTCTTTTTTTTTTTTTTT